CACACAGTTAAGGCTGAATAACTCCTCCGTGCAAAAGATCCGCTTGGATAGCATGCTGCACCGAGATTATTGAAGGTTCCTATGGGGTGTGCACTAGCAATCTCTGAAGTGAAAGGTACAGGTAAGGGCGGGGCTAAGGGCGGGGCGAAGGGCGGTGAGGACGGTTGACAAACTGATGAATATTCAATGATGTACTCTGGGTAGAAGTGATTGGTATCGTAGACGACGAAGATGGTTCGGTTTGCTATTTTATCCACACACGAGCCGTGCAGAAGGGTGTCGACATTTGAAAAATCCTTTGGTGGTGGGCTTTGATAACTGGGGTGGCCTTTGGTATAGTAGCCAACGAGAACTTTAGCCAAAAACATATACTGAAACAAATCAGAATCTCTCTTCGCGTAGGAGTGGCTGGATACGGCATTGACTGCAAAGTAGGTTCCTTGGCCAAGCTTAGGCCTCTTGTTCTTGTTATGTAAACGCAGATGAAAGTTCTTTTCACAGATTGTCTCTACGTTTTCTGAGCAGGTTCCGTGAAACAATTTCTTTTCATTAACCTGTTGCTGATTTAAAAGCTGAGCTTTCCTCATCATCTTTTCTTTACTCCTTTAAAATAGAACATAATAAATTTTTCTAACAAGTTTATTTGTATCAGAAACAGTTACTAGATTAAATTCTGTATTCCAGCCCAAAGTGGTCAACCCAGCTAGAGATTATCTTGGCTTCTGCTGCCCTGAAGTGGCTAGGATTCCCCGGGATGTATTCAACCGGTCCATTCCCACGATGTTAACCCCCTTGCATAGGAGCAATTCGTAGTTTATTACGGTGGTAATTCTTGCCAACTGCAACCTTCACGAACACCTTGCCGACTCGCCTCGTGGCTCAACCTCTAGAGCATGACGATCTTAGTCTAGCAGCTGAAGGTTCCAATCTCATCAAAGCTAAAGAAAGTTTTATTACGTTTTTGTTTGTTTGTTTGTTTTTTTGCTTCGTGAGGTTCCTAACTTTGTTACTGGGACTAACGTTGAGAAGGAAATTCCTGGATTTGTTCTCATCACTTAAACAAATGACTCTCTGTCGTCTTTGCAAGCAAAGCGTTCATTATCGAATGAATCATATTAGTTCGCCATGCATGTTTAACTCTGGTTCACATTTCCTCAAACAGTTATTTCGTTATCTGCAGTACTCCTCCCACATTAAAGGATTCTGAACACGATCGATATTTTCGATCCCCGCCCGGCCGGTCATCGACCGTTTGAACAACTTCTCCACGTCTTGAAATTCGGCTGTAGCTGCGTCTAATGCAACGCGTGTGTAGGGCACGTTGAGAGGCATCGAGGACCAGTGGCTTGGAACATGGCTGGAAATATTAGTCTTCACAGGACTCTCCTCGATTTTTCTCTTAGATGCGGAATCACCACGGGCCCTTTCAAAGACAACAGTTACGACAACAATTACGAGGCATTTGAACAATAGTGGGTCCTATATCCTTCCTAGGCTTTGAAGTGTTATTTTTCACAATTTTCTTATTTAAGTTAGCTGGGGTTCCAACCCAATTGTAAAATAAATTGCAATACACTTCTTGTAATGCTCAAGTTGTAATTTCAAATGCGATCGGATTGTGCAGATCAAGGCGTTTCCATGAATTTCGGACGCTTCTAAGACAGTTGACGAAAATATAGGGAGCAGAGATAGTGCAGTGAGAGGGCTCGCCTCCCACAAAGTGGTCCGCGTTCTTATCTTGGACCCAGCGTCATAGTGGGTTGAGTTTGTTGGTGGTTCGCCTTCTTGTTCCGAGGGTTTTTCTCCGGGTTCTCCGGTTTTCCTTCCCCCACAAAATATTCAACTCCAAATTCTAATTACATCTCAATACACGAACAGTTTATAACGAGTTAAAGAGAGCTCTTCCGATATACATTTACATTTGCATGGATCTACAAATGGTCCAGTTTTGAGTTCGCCATGACCGCTGATTAAAAGCACTGAGAACGCATTTGCACAGGGTTAGCCTCAACCTAAAGTAAAATATTCACAAATTCCAGCGAGATGACCTGTTTACAGCTCTGCGTATTGTTAAATTTTCAAATTTGTGGCACCTTTCCGCCGGTATTTGTGAATATTTTACTTTAGGTTGAGGCTAATCCTGTGCAAATGCGTTCTCAGTGCTTTTATTCAGCGGTCATGGCGAACTCGAAACTGGACTATTGAAGAATCTACAAATATCCATACCATTCCTTCAGATCGTCATCGGAGATAGGTTTTTCAGGTCTCCTTTTCACCTGTCTCTTGGTGCCAGTTCTCACATTGACTTGGTACATCTCTCTTGTTGAATCAAACAACAAGTTGTACACATTCTCTGAGGTTCGAAACTGGTACATGGCCTTTGTTTTACCCTGGTCTAACATGTCTTGATAGGCTTGCTCTATCTGCTCCTGAAGGTCGCTTTTCTAAAAGAAAAATGTTCTCGTGTTACTGATAGCTAAACTATCTATAACCACAATGACAGTCTAGCTGTCACTTTTGCTTTTGTTACGAAAATGTATTGTTCATCTATCTACCGACATCGGCATTCATCATACTATTAATAATAATGGTAATAGGACTGAGTGGAGTCCAATTCGGTCTGTAATCATACGAGTGATTAACACAATCGGACGAACGCGAAGCGGGAGTCCGATTTGTTAATCACGAGTACAATTACAGACTGAATTGGACAACACGATGTCCTCTTACCAATTAATTATAACCATTACAATTTCTCACTAAAGTAAAAGTTTCATTTGAAAAAGAGCTTAAAATAGTCATTTTTAAATATCATAGTTAAAAATATGGAGAATAGCTTGCAAAATGGCGGTAAAGTTTTTTCAAATACATTCTCTTGAATTGGTTACTATAGTGATTGGTGGATTTAGTGGAGAGGACTTAAAATGATTGGCTCATGTAACTGTCCGATTACAGGTGTTCGAATACAGCCAACAGTCCGATTACACTCTCCGATTACAACTTTGCAGATTAATTAGAGCAAAATACAGCATTTATGCAACAATCACATTTGAGCAAATTACATTTGTTATGATTAATTAGAAAATAGCTCTATGTAAATACGCGCGCTTATTGGTTTAAAATTGTGTTTCTGTAACTCAAAAGAAACACAGAACTAGCCACAGGGAGCCCTCACATCCGTTTAGAATACGAGTAAAAGATCAACTTACCTTATTTATCGCGCGTGTTTTGTGTTTTGTGGTGGCCATTTTGAAATTCTAATACGCGGCCCGCTGGTGCGAAGTCTGGAACCGAAATTAGGGAAATCGCTTAAAGTCTGCTCGGAGCTCTAAGAACCCGGTGAGCGATCGGATCCTCCGAGAATTTGCGAATTTTCCCGCCCGTCCCAGATTTCTTAAATTTCGGTTTCAGACCTCGCACTAGCACCGCGTATTAAAAATTCAAAATGGTGGCCACAAAACACAAAACACGCGCGATAAAGGTAGGTTGATCTTTTATTCATATTCTAAACGGATGCGAGGGCTCCCTGTGACTAGCACGAGCTGTTGACGTAATGATGGCGCGAGCAACGAGAATTTACATTTTGATGATCAAAGTAAACGAGTCGTTTTCTTTGTTTTGGTCGCGGAATTTTCTAAAAGAAATAGAAAACATGTTCTCCGTGTTTCTATCGAGTTATAGAAACATTCGTGGAAGTTTGGAAGAACTCAAAAAAGCTGTGGAAACACTCGCCTCTCGGCTCGTGTTCCCACAGCATTTCTCGTTCTCCCAAACTTCCACTTGCGTTTCTATTAAACAATTAGATTATGAGCTCGAGATTTCCATCGCGTGATAGTTGACAAGGGCGCAGCCCGAGTCAACTATCGCGCGATAGAAATCGTGAGCGAATAATCTAATTGTTTTAGTTTAAATCTACTAGTCTTTCAAAAATTTATCTAAATCCTCTTCACAGATACTTCGAAAACGACAAGAAGCGGCCGTCATTTTGTTAACAATGGTACCCTGTTACGCTACTCACTATCTATCACAGAATAGACAGTGAATAGCGTAGCCAATCAGGGAACGGCATTCGTGATAGAACGGTAGTATATGTATACTAAAACTCGATAGAAACACGGTACGTGTTTTCTATTTCTTAAGAGCAGCTCCGCCTAAATATCAACTAGACTTGGAAATAGCGAAAAAATCGAATTTCTTCAAACTCGCCCAGAATGAAGCCCTACGGGCACTAGTTACAAAAAT